GGCAAACGATTCTAGTGCTCAAAACAGTGTCCCAGGTCTACTGAAACCTCGCTCCAAACTACACATTGGAGCCTTCAACGTACGCACCCTATGTCAAATCGGTCAACAGGCTTCCTTGGCTAGAACCCTAGAATCTCGCACCATTGATGTATGCTGTCTCTGAAACACGCATACAGGATCCCAGTGTGGTCATTCACTTGACCTCACCTCGGCAAAACGGAGAGCCAACAAGATATACCCGTGTATCTGGTGACCCGACGGGCAGCTCTCGTGGACTGGCAGGAGTAGGCATAGCACTAAGCATGAGGGCGGAACAAGCACTGTTAGAGTGGATCCCCGTTAACAGTCGTTTATGTGCTGTTCGGCTTAACGGCTCCGTAAGAACTCGGAATTATAGGGACACACGTCATTGCCTTTTCGTTGTTTGTGCCTACGCTCCCACTGACTGCAGCCCGGATGAACTGAAAGATGGATTTTACAGAAAGTTTTCTAAACTTCAAAAAGCTAAACACTCAAACATAGTACTAGTCGCAGGTGACTTTAATACTTAAGCAGGTAGGTTAAACCAATCAGAAAGACATTTAGGTGGGTATTTTAGTATTCCAGATCAGCGGACAGATAGTAGTGACCATCTGCTGCAATTGTTCTCAGATAATCGTTTGTTTTTGGCAAGCACTAATTTTAAGCATAAGGAGAGACATTATCTAACATGGCGACCCCCTGCACCAAATCAATGATGGACTCAACTAGACCATATTGCCATCTGTCATCGTTGTAGAGAATCGATAGAATACTGCCGCTCGTCCTGGAGTACATGTTTAGACTCTGATCATGCTCAAATACGAGCATGCATTTGCTTGCACCTCACTGAACTTAGAAAAGCCACATTAAGAAGACCCATTAGAGTTGAACTCAGTGACGAGAAAGCCAAAAGTAGATTTCAGTAACAACTGAGGTCACACTTAGTTCTGGAAACGAGGCTGACCCAGATGTTGTTTGGAAAGATATACGAACAGCTGTGGAAACAGCAGTGACATATATTAGTGATTTGAACCATAGGGTCATAGAAAACTAGTGGATTTCTGCTAGGCCTATTGCCCCCAAACGCCCTTGTACGGCCGAGGGTGGAGTCAGCTCTCACATGGCCATGTGTATACAGCAGGTGCCAGGGAAGTCCTACTCACTGCCTTCTCGCGGCATTACGAAATTGAGTGGACGAAAAGCGCTTATCTGGTGTTTTTAACCGGGTTAGTGGACACGTAGAATTCACCTAGGGGAGTCGGAAAACCTTGATTCCAAATCAATGTTGCACATTGGCTTCAGGATCCTGAGAGAATAAAATGGCATATGGACCAATCATTGGTCACCGGCTACCATGAGACTGCATCTCCTGAAGTTGCTCCACTGCCTTGTGGATCAGACCTTTAGGCCGAAGACTCGGGGTGTGGCCCCCTAAGAAAACCACCTGCTTCGGTCTGGGCATCCGGGCAGTATCCCAGCGCACACACAAACCAAGTAACTTGTGTGGCGCATATGTATTCGGTGCCTCCTTGTACAAATATTTGTGTTCAAATTAATAAATAAATACCATCCGATCAGGCTTCAAACATGATGAAGAGCGAAAACAAATCAGATCTTGGTAAACCAAAAGTCTACGGAACGACGTGAGCAGTGGTGGGCAACGAAAGCAAGAGATGGAAAGGACAGCGGCTGTAGGTAACATTAGACCGCTTTTCAGACTAATAAAAGAAACTGGAATTGAGAAGTCAAGTGTAAGTGATACGATCTCGGAAAAAGCTGACATTCAACTTAGATGTTCAGAATAATGGGTGGAACACATTATGGAACAGTTTAGCTGACCTCCAGCACTGCTACAACTACCCATCATTCTCAAACAGCCTGAATGGAACATTGAAGTAGGCCCTCTGACCCTAATTGAAGTTCGAAAAGCCATAGCTAATCTGAAATGAGGAAGAGCAGCTGGTCCGTATGGATTGGCTTCAGAAGCCTTTAAGGATGGTGGTTCAGCTTTAGTGATTAGGTTGACTAATATTTTAGCTAAAATCTGGGGATCGAATGTAATCCCATCTGAATGGTCTAAATCACTGATCGTCCAAATAAAAAGAAAAGATCAAAATCATCCTATGAAAACCACAGAGGGATTAGTTTGATTAATATAGCATCTAAAATACTAGCTTCAATAATTATCGGACGCCTAAAATAAACTCGTGAAATTTAAACACGAGAAAATTGGCTGGCTTTAGACCTGGTTATAGTTGTATCGACCACATATTCACCATTCGCCAGGTTCTAGAACACAGGCATGCCTATCGGAGTCCGGCAATAGTTGTCTTTCTTGACCTAACAGCAGCATTTGACTCTAGACCGAGAGGTTCTGTGGCAGTGTCTGTCATTGGAAGGTGTACCTCACAAGTACATAAACCTTGTGAAGGTTCTTTATTGGAACACTACTAGTCGAGTCAAAGCTTATGGCGAACTGTCATCTGCCTTTGCAACCTTAATTGGTGTCCGTCAAGGCTGTTCACTATCTCCATTTTTGTTCAACTTCACAGACATACTGACGGAAATAACGTTCTCGTCGACTGAATTTTCGGGCATTGATCCCCTTCCAGTAGGTCCACTTATCGACCTAGAATACACAAATGACATAGTTCTATTTGGTGAAGACGCTGATAAAATGAAGTCTTTTGGTAACGCTGAGCAACAATGCTAGGACGTTTAAAATGCATTTTTCCTTCTCGAAATGCAACTTGTTGCTTCAAGACTGGTCTGCATCAACACCTGGACTTAGGATAGGGAGTGGAGTAGTCGGACGCGTCGACAACTTTACTTATCTTGGAAGTCTGGTCATCCCTAATCGGTTGGTATCTGACAAAATCTCTGCACGTACTCAAAAGACTTGTGTGGCTTTTGCTAACCTACGTCACCTATGGCGAAGGTGAGATATCCGTCTATCAATTAAGGGACGAGTATACTGCGCGGCAGTTCGTTCTATTCTACTTTACGGCTGCGAAACATGACCATTAAGGGTAGAGGATACTCTTAGGTTAATTGTTTGCAATGGAGCAGGTGCATCCATTCTTTGTGTTCTCCCAAATTCTGATCTTCTGAATTCTTCATGTCCCTTTTTTTATCTTCCCAAATTTGTTTCACTGGTTTATACTCCTTGAATAACATCTTTAAACCCTAATCTTTCCGATTACTAATTATACTCTTACTACCTGTACCACAATGAGATTTGAATCGACAATTGTATCTCTGTGCGAATGTGGTATGGCAACTTGGACTGATGCATATATGTGCCTGGTCCTACGTTGTAGCTGACTGACTGGTATGGCAACTCGAACTGATGTACGTACGTACGAAGTTCTACATTACTGATGACTGACTGACTAAGTTACTAGTATTTGATCACAGATGTCTTAGAAATATTGCTCGCATCTGCTGGGATCACAGGGTAAGTAATAGTGAGGTTCAGATGCAGGGTATTAGGGAATGATGGTAAGTCGGTTGATGAGGTCGTGAGTCTACATCAACTGAGATGGTTGGGCCACGTGTTGCGTATGCCTGAACACCGATTACCACGGCGCACAATGCTGACTAGTGTTGGGGATGGATGGGAGAAAGTTGGGAGAGGTCAAACCAAAAAGTGGCATCAGTCCATAAAGTCACTATTTTCTGGTCTGAGCCATGTTAGTAGATGCACACTACTTGGTTAGGGTCCATGCGACTGTCGTACTTAATGGTTGGAGACTGGATGACATGGCTCAGAACCGATCACAATGGCGTAGGTGTATACACTCTTCATCTTCCCTTAAACAGTGAGATTAAAATTGCTTTATACCTTTATTTCTACGAGTTAATTCTTTCTTCTTGTATTATATCCTTATATGCAATCTTTCTTCCATATATTAATACCATTGAAGTAACTACTTCTATGAATTTGATGTGCTAATGAGGTATGGCATATATTTGCCTGCTACTACTTTGTAGCTGACCGACTGACATATACGAACTTAGTTTTGCTTTGGTAAGAGGAGCTTAATAATTTTGTTTGACACATCCGAATCGTAGCCCAGTTTCGGGTACTAAATGTTGTACTCGTTTATTAAATTACTTCTTGGACCGGTGCATGTATGTGCGTGGTCCTACGTTGTAACTGACTGACTGACTGAAATCGCATTTACTCTGTTTAAAATAAAAGCCTGAATCAATACCAAATGGTTGGATAAAAATTCCCAGCTAAAATAATGACGAATGCTGATGATATATATGACTGCGTAAAAATATTATATTCACATTGCTTAGACTACTTTACATCCAATAACTAATGATGCGTTATATCACTCGATTACATTCGATCATATCGCCTCATTTCTCAACGGGTCAAATCAATAAAAACAGATATTAAAACGTTTTAACAAATCATAATTAGGCTGTATGTAGGTAGATTTAAAGGATAGATATCATACAATGCAAGACAAGTTTTTTTCAAGCAGACAAAAAGATCACTCATCAATAGTTGCTTTTATTCTGGTGCAAACACCAAGCTAACACTTGTAATCGTGTTATCTTCTAGTAACCCACCCTAGTTGCTATAATCGATTGTAATTCAGCAATCGGTTTTTTAAAAGAACGGAGTAGTTGGTTGTTATTAAAATTTCATTAATTAACCGACAGATAATTTCTCCTACTTTGTTCTACCCCAAGTCTACTAATAGTTCTTTCTGTGAACTGAATTGATGTAAAAGCTTGTATTCGTTCTACTTTGGACACATTTCAAAAGATTATGTTATGACAAATTCAGTCAAAGTAGTTAGGTACGTAGTACAAGTGTGTATTCATGTGCTGAGATACCGTTGACCTTTGATACATTTCATTGAAATGTTATTCGAATATTTCTCGACAATTTCCTAATTTTGTATTTCTCTTTGGTGTTTTCATCAACAGGTATAACTCCTCTACTAAACTTTGTTCAGATGTCAACGGTTGAACTAAAATTATCCAAGTTAGATCAACGACTGAAGTTGGCTGTCAGCGAACGACGTTTCTATGAGGCTCATCAACTATACAAGACCATACATTTCCGTTGTATTATGCGGAAAAATTATCAGGAAGCATTAAAATATTTGAAACTAGGTTCTGAGTTTTTACTTGATAATGAACAGTGGGAAAGTGGTACTGAGTTAGCTTGCCTTGTACTTGAAGTGTATAGCCAGAGTGAAACAGTTTTGACTGAATCTCATCTAGATGAAATTTGTGAACTTTTGATACGAATGTGTCCTGGTGAAGAAAGGACACGTTTTGTCCACAAGACACTTCAACTTCTACAGAAGCAAAAAGATCTTCTGGCTGTGTTCAATGGATATCTCGCTCGTGTATTGTGGCAAGAAGGATCTTTCAGTGAAGCAAGGTTGCGTATCATGTTATCTTCTAATGGCTATGCGGCTGGTGTCTTCCTTGTTGCTTTGCATCAGCGATACGGGCTTCGATCAGAAATCGATTTATTTATTGCACAAGCTGTCCTTCAGTTTTTATGTATGAAGCAAATCTCAGTTGCCATATTAACGTTTTACACATATACACGACGTCACCCTCGTTTAGAGCCTGGGCCACCGTTTGCAGATTTTCCTTTATTAAATTTCCTATGGTTTCTGATGTTAGCCATTGAAAAGAAGTGCAGTCTAGCTGTATTTTCAGTACTATGTGAAAAATACAGTCCCCAACTGAACAGAGACTCTTCTTATTTAAAATACTTGGATAAAATCGGCCAATTATACTTTGGTGTTAAACCTCCTGCAAATGAAATGAATAATTTTTTTTCACGGATAATGCAAATGTTTAATGATGGAGACAAAATGGAGGATTCTGTGTCAAGTGATGACTTAGGTCGTTGTGCGCTGAATGGGAGTACCGATGTAAATTCACCAGAGGAAATGTGTTTTGAAGATGTGGATTAATGATTTCGCATATATCTCCACCAACTATACAGTGCCTTTCGATTTAGAGCTGATAGTATGCACATACTCATCTTTATAGGCGGACTACAAATACCTACCCACGTAACCGACATTTGAATTCTGAGCGTTTTTGGACAATAATTTTGTCTTGCAGTTATGCTTTGTGGATCTGTTTTCCTCATGCATCTTCTAACAAATATTTATTCATTGGATGATTTTACTGTCGGTTTCTTTCTTTTTTTCCTGCTATAAACTTCTTGAAAATGCACAAAATTGTTAATATTGAAATAAATTAAATTGTGTACAGATTCTGTTCTAAATTTTTCAGTTTTGGTTGTTCATGCTGTGTAGCGTCTTTTTGATTATATCACGGATTGTCTTGTTAATTTGACACGTTTTTTTGACAGCCTTGGTTCAAAAGGGATATCTTGAACTGATACACTTGTTTGAGATTCTTTGCTGTGGCTCTCTGTTACGGTTAGAATTGTAGTTATAACCTTGAAAGCTCTTAATTCTTTACCAAATAAATGTAAAATTATTTGTGATACACTAATAAATAACTGATAAACGAAGATAAATAGAGGTCAGGTGTTGAAGTTTTCACTGTACAAAGAACAAAAGGAATTATATAAGTACTGTAAGTTGACCTAGAGTAATAATACTGAGGTCGTTTACAACTTACCTGATGCCACAAGATTAATACAATGTATACTAGAGTTAGTTACACGCGTATCGATTGCAATTTACATTATCCATCAGCTTACGTTAATCTGCCTGATTAAAACAGTAACCTAAGCAATTCTGCAACCTGTAATCGAAACGGTACGATGAACTTTTAGATCAAGCAGTTCGGTTTCCCGATTTTTTTTATAAGGCCCGCGCTCAAATGCATCTTGATGTCAGCCAGTGCCGGGTACTCGTCTACTAACTACTGTGGGCCTTTTAATTCCTTAGTATTTGAATTGAAAATTTTAAAATTTTTCATTCACTCTTTTGCAGTCTTAATATAAACCAAATTATTTAGCATTTAATGTTTACTTAAGCCTACTGCGCAAGCCATTACAATATAGTGTTACATTTGACCTTAGTCTAAGTATGATAAGTTGTAGTTTATTGATAACTTAAGAATCTACCGAATTACCTATTTTCTTTGAGTCAATATGCTCTAGTTTTCAATATTTTCGCAGTGCTCATTCGATCCAAACCTAAATAATTACACCAGTTACCCCTCTTGCCGTAGCACCATTCAGGAGTCTCTAACAAGCTCCATTCTAGACTCTTCTTCCCAGTTGTTATCAAGTGTTATTCACGGCATTAGTGTTGGCCTCAGATTCTCAAAACCAAAACAACCTTCACTCTTTTGTTTACTTATGTGCCTGCTTTTCGTCGGTTTATTCTGACTGCTGTCTTGTTTCATTTCCTTGAATCGTGACCAAACTATCTACTGTGATTTGTTCTTCATTCTGGTGCCTATTGGGGCCCGAAACACACTGGAATTTCGAAGTTATTGCTCGTTTAAGCCTTTTCGAGTTGCTCTCTGTGGGGATTTTCTCTACTAGTAGGTCTTGTAGCAATTAGAACTTGTTGCTGAGATCTATATTGGACTGACTGAGTTTGTTAGCATTTTGAAGGAAGGCGGTATTAAAATTTTCCGGTGTTGCTTGCTCATTTGTCCAATACGCCTTTGGCTTATGTTCCAGTTTGTCTATTACCATGTGGTGATATAAAGTTATATCAGCTTCTCTCTTTATCCCTACTTCGGTTGAGCTTCCGAATTTTTTGTTCACGCAGATGTGATCGATCTGGTTTTCTGTAACGTGTTCAGGTGAAACATATGTAGCTTTATGTGTCCGTTTGCGGGTAAAATGCTGCCTCCTATGACCATGTTGAGAGCACATAAATCCCATTTCATTCCTCTGATTGTCTATCCCGGCCAACGAGTTTATCAGATAGATATACGTTTTCAAAATTCATCCTCGTATTTGACCTATTTTATTCCGTTATTCCCTGACGCGAATTAAATCAACTATTATAAATGAGAGTGGATGGCGTGTTTATTTCGTTGACATCATCATTCTATCAAATCGAAGTCCGTTCAACGTGCCACTAAACTGTTATTGGTTGGTGCGTAGCACTTGACGACATTCGTCGTAATCCTTCCCCTCTTTAGTTCAACGAATGCTTTGGTGATCCTAGAGCCGTAAGTTTTCAACCAATCCAGTCAGCAATTCTCATGCTTCTTTGGACAGCGTCAGTACAATTTCATGCGTGTGTGGGTATTTTCTTCCTCATGTTCAGAATATAACATCTGTCCTGGAGTTGGTTTGTTTTGCTCCGAATGTGTTCGTTGGGAATCACCTATCCCAATGAAGATCAGGTTGTATCTTCTCACTTCTGCCACCATTTGAATGGTCCTCTTAGCCTCTCACTTTGTCCAGACATTCCGTGTCCCTATATTAATTGTTATTCTGGTCGTCAGAAGGAACACCGTTTCCATGGCCTTCAAAGAATCTCGGGATTTTTCCTGAAGCTTCATAACTCTTCTATATCAAGATCCTTCAACTACTAGTGGGGAGTGTGAGTTAGTTGGTTGAGTCTGGTTAGCGTTTTTCCAACGACTTTGTAGTTAGTGAGGTGGGTTTGGTAGGCACATACCCAACCCTTCTCCTTTATCCGGCTTTAAGGACTTGGAATAACCCTTATGACCTTCAGACTACTTGTGTTCGACTCAGTCTTTTACTATTTTGAAAGACTGCTATATGTTTCCGAATGTTGTTGTTTAGTTTAATCTACAGTTCTTGCTTATTTTTGCATTGCATGACTGGCCTTATGTATAAGGTGTTCGTATCAATTTTCTTGATTACCTTCAGTTCCTATTCACCTTAAAAATTCCATCTTTGTTTATAATATCAGTATCTCGACTACGACGAAGTGGGTTACTGCTCATGATCCTGTGCATACACCATAGTTGATTTTTTGAGTTGAATGATTTCAGTAAGTTTAAATATTTAAGTAAATCACGTATGTATCACAAAATCCGATGTTGATTTGTTTCCAACACATAGGTATATATTTAAGGTTGAATTGTTGCTGAATAGTTTAAGCACTCATGAGTTAGTTTATAGTTTCGTATCTTTCTGTACATACTTTGTACAAATCTGCTGTGTAGTACAAATAACTTTTAAAGTGTAGTTGATTCACGACTAAGTTGCGTAACGATATGTTTTCAGGGTTTCCCCCTCTAAACTTGGTTATGTCTTATTAAATGTCAATGTGCACATGTTTGTTTCAAAGAGGATGCCTTTGATAACTAGAGGGTTGTAAGTTTGTGTGTAATTAGTTGAATATATATAACTCAGGTCCGGTTTCTTATTTCTATTTTAGAAGAAAAATGTACTAATACTCATTATTACCAAATAAAAATGTCGAATAGTGCTTTTGGACCAGTTTTAAGTTCAGGGACTGCTCCTAATTTAGGCAGTGTTCCATCTGCTAAAGAAGAGCATGCCTTAGGCTTAAAAGCTATTTATGCAGCTTGTCGACTGTTGTATCCTGATCAACCTACTCCACTGCAAGTAACAGCTGTTCGAAAGTTCTGGATGGGTGGACCAGATCCTTTGGATTTTATCAATATGTATGCAAATCCAGGATCAGCTGAACTGCAAAGCCCTCCTCACTGGCATTACGTAACTAACGGTTTATCAGATTTGTATGGTGACTCGAGGTTGCATGGGTGAGTTTATTAGTACTTTTTTGCTTCGTTTATTTCTTTGCGAGTTTCAAAGAAACATGTTCTTCATCATAATTGACAATAGTACTGGTGATTCTGACTGAAGTTTATTCTGCTGCACTGGCGGCGTATCTAGGTTACAGAACCGGGACTCCGACTCTTTGGTTTTCATGGAAATAGTAACCGTATAGCAGTATTATAGTTTACCATCTGTAAGACTCATTTAATTATGGTTATCATTATTACGTAACCAACATTACACACTGTTGTGGAATGATTTTTGAACTAAAAATTGTTTAAAAGTGTAGATGCTTAGATCAGAACACTACAAAAGAGTATGACGTAAGTGAATTGTTGTACTTATTTATCTATTATTGCCACAACTTACATACTCTGCTACTTGATATCATTTATTGACTTTCAATAGGGGAAGTTAGCTTTACGTAATGATAGAATAAAATTGTGCAAAGGTACGTAATACAAATGAACTTTTGGTGGTTTATTGGGATATATCTCATGATCTTCCAGTAACAAGTTTAGTTCCATCATCTAGCAATACATTAATTACCAGGAGATATCAAAGAATCAACTCTAAGTTTATTGATACCAGAAATTTTTCCATATGACTGATTCATTTTTTCCAATAAATTCTAATTAGCTATGAATGTTATAAATTGTCAGGTAGTGTTCCGTCATGAATCAATCGTAGTAAGAGAAACATTAAAAACTCAGAAGTATTCTAAAGATCTAGTCCTTTCAACTTTCCAGTGATCATCTACACTACCCACTCTCTTTGTAATAGATGTAAAGCTCACATTTTTTGTGACAAACGTTAAAATCAATGAGTCAATTCGTCAGTACTGACCTGTATCAGTAGTTTTCAGGCAAAGAGCTTCCATAAGGTGTATTTACCTCTTTAAACTCATTGAGACATTAAAATGGTTCCAGTGTGATATAGAATTTGATTACTGGTATATATAGTATTTTAATCCACTAGTTTTATTGTGCTTATGTAAATATCAGAACAATTGATTATTCAAAACAACGTCAGAAATTTAGGTTGGTCGTCGTCGAACAAGTCACTATCAAACTCTGAATATCTATTTCTTAAAAATAATCTGAGGATTATCATACATTTTCAAGTGTTTTCATTACAACCGCATCTTATATTTTGTCATGTATTAATATGAAAGACATACCACACACCTTGTTTATTTCATTTTGGCGTTCCGTAAACACTTTACGTAAACTACCTAGGAATCTGAAACCCGTCAACGTGTAAACAACCATGCTGTCCAATAACCAGTTTACACACATGTTTCAGTTTTTACGTTACATCCAACCGACTGACTGTCCTAATTTCTCCTTTCCACCATAATTTTCCTAGTTTGTGTTTTCTGCATCATAATGTGGAAAAAATTCCATTTTACTTTTCCATAATAAAAGATTTTTGTTTGTTAATTTCTACTATATATATATATATACGAATTGTAGCCATTGTCATTCAACTGACGGTCCAAGTGGTTTCGGTTTCGAGTTAACATTTCGAGTAAAACGTGAAGCAGGTGAAACAAATCCACCAACATGGCCAGCGCATTTACTACAAAGCTTAGCACGTTATGTTTTCTATTCACAAGCTCAATTAATGGCAGGCGATCATATTCCATGGCCTACGTCTTTAGATAAGCAGCCTAATTTTTCATCTCAACAGTCGGAAAAACGACGACGGCACCATCACCACCACCAGCAACAACAGACGGATAAAGAAACAAATGTGAAAGAGTTGGAAAATGCAAGAAAATCCATTGCAATGGCGGCTGCAGCAACTGCGGCTTCCATATTAGCTGCAAACAGTGCTAAAACAGGTATGGGATCTTCATCGGCTGCTTTATCCGCATTAACCAATCCTTCGACTTATGCATCCATGGTCGCAGCTGCTCTAGCCGCTGTCAATAATAACAACTCGAATGATCCAGTTGGCCAGAATGAAACTAAGGATAAACTAACAACTAATTCAACAAATTCATCACGTATTCATCATATGCTACTGGTAGAAGATCCTCAACTGAAGAAAATCACTACACCATATGGTTATGTTCAATTTTTACAGGTTATTACTTTTCTTTGTAATTCTTATGAATTTTACTTTCTAATTATAGTAGCGCAAATGTATACTAGAATAAGTGAAAATTCGGTTAAAAATAGTACAATTGTCGAACGACTAAAGGAGTAGATGGTCTTAAGTAGCATTATTGGATTTTAAAAAACGAATAATGTTAAAGTGTGTAAAGTAATTAGCTTTCTACAACATGTTTGCATAAATACTTTCCCATTTTTTGTACACCATGAGTTTAACCACTTTTAAATTGATCATTATTCTATTTTTACTGGTTTAAGGTAGGGTGTATTTGAGAGAGGCGATTCTGCTCATAAGATTCGAACGCTCATCGCCTTGTTTCACGGTTTAGGACGTTACCATTTAACTAATCATGTTGCGAATAAAATCTTTATTTTCATATTATTGTATTTGGTAGAAATTTAGTAAGTTTAGTCTTTTAACGAATTTCTTTTTAGCTATTTTTAACCTTTAGTCTTAAACTTCAATGTTGTTATTCTCAATAAATTTGATGAAATGCAATTAGACAGTATGAAATTATGATATAGAAGCACAAAAGTATCCAGTTGATAACTACCTTTATCCATTCATTACAAAATTAACCGTAGGACTCACTTTTATTTTCCGAATACTCAAACATTTTTAAATATAAAGATCATAGTCGACTGTATTTCTTAAAAAAGAATTCCACATATTCAGCGACACTCTGTATTGATTTGATTTCTCATTAAACGAGACTGGGTCCAAGGTCATCCGTGTTTTTTCATCATTCCTTTCTACGGAACAACCACAGACAATTTCTGTGTACGTGAACTGCAACTGGTTATGATAATTACTATAAATATATTTACATGCTAGACCAAATTTATTTGTTGGTCCTTTTTAATAAATTGTATTCGTTTCATAAATTTTAAACTTTCGACAGCAGTATACGTAATTCTGTTTGTGTGACCGTTTAGAATTGATACCCACCTTCATTTTATGTCAGGTAGGTAGGTTAGTCGAGGTGTGGTATATTATGAATTATTATTGTTATTCAGTATACAGAAACACTGACTGAAAAAAAAACAAAATTGAAATCTACCATGTATGGGTATATGGTTTATTGTTTATGTGTATAGATTTTAAGTCATGTACATCACATTAAAGATAAAATTATCTCTTGAATGATCAGATTTCAGTTCGTTTTCAACATGGTCTGATGAATAATAAATAAAGGTGGTCTTTTTATAATCATAAATATATGTCAACAAACGAATCAACATGTTTTGAAACTCCGCAGTACATATCCACACGTTATACAGTAATTAATTTAGTCACGCGGTAAGCGCTATACCATTCAGTCAGTCATACAATATCAAGTAAATAAATCAGGCTACGAAAGGAAAGTGAATCTGTCCTCATTATTAACTTCCATCAAGATGGACAGTCGCACTGTATCTCGGAAATAAACTGAAGTTGGAAAAATGATTGAGTGAATTTCAACATAGTATCTAGGTAGTGAAATGATCTTTACGACTGACATTTTGTGATTTCTGTAAGGACTAAATAAACTAGGAGGATTGAATTTTGTTTGGTCAAAACAACCAAATGCCTATTATAGGCCTTTGTCAGTTAAAGTACAGAATTTTAACTTGACTTTGTCTAGGAGTCCGAAAATATTCACTATTCGATCAGCAGCGTATAATACAAATTGTCAGTCTAAAAGGTCTATATGAAATATTACTGTATAAACTTGGTATAAGCTAAGTTAGTATGATAAATAAATTATGTCACTATCTATTCCGCTAAAACAATTAATTTAAATGGTAACACAATCTAAATTTTTTGCTTTTATTTTATTTTATTTGAACACATATATATTGGTACAGGAGTGCGCCAAATATATATACGCCACACAATTTCAGTTCATAAATTGCGTGTGGGCTGCGATACTCCCCGGGTGCCCAGACCGAAGCAGGTGGTTATCTTAGGGGGCCACACCCCGAGCCCTTGACCTAAAGGTTTAACCCACAAGGCAGTGGAGCATCGTAAGGAGATGCAGTCCCATGGTAGCCGGTGACCGAAAATTGGTTCATATGCCATTTGTTCCCGCAGGATACTGGTGCCCATTTGCACCATTGGTTTGGAATCCGGTTAAAGCGCCGGACATTCGCTTTTCGTCCTCTCATTTTCGTAAACAACACCCCGCCACGAGAAGGCAGTGAGTAGGACTTCCCTGGCAGAGGCTGTATACGCGCGGCCGTGTGAGTATTTTGAGAGGGAGGGCGAACCCATCCCGCTCTCGGCCATACCAGGGCTACATATAATTTGACATCCAGTTAGTGGATAGCTTAACTTCTACCAAGCAAAACGGTGAATTAATTGTTAAAACCTGATTTTCGAATATCTGCTTGCGGGTTTGAATCCCATTCTACCGGTTTCACTAATTTATGACTCACTTGACTGCATAAACCTAAACGTATTTTAATATTATCACTATGATCTGATTAAAATTATTGTTAATAGTCTTAATATTTATCTATCTATATCTATCTACCTACCTACTTATCTATATTTATAAAATGACTGCGTGAAGCATGTCATGACTGGTTCATTTTTTTCACATATACACTAGTGAATAATGACTTCCGTTACCTACATCTAACTCCATAACGATAATTTGGTGGTCCCTTGAAATCTAATTGGTTTAGTGGTCGTTAATTATTTATAATCCTCTAATGTTGTGTTTTGTCTTAAAGTCGTCAGTATAATAACAAAAATGACGTATTAGTTAATTGGAGGCTCTCTGAATTCGTAAATATCTTTCAGAAAACACTTTGGACAGTATGCAATATGATTATTTTAAAATGCACATTATTTAAAATAATAGATGGTCAACTAGTTGTTTATTTCAACACAGTATTTTTGACATTTTCTGATAGTAATCCAAACGATTAACCTTTCAAGCTAACATCTAGACCGCTTATTCATAAATTACTTTCTACTATCAGTTATGCTTCTTAAGATTAAATTTAAGTTTTATGTTTTTTTATTTAGTTGGTTGGTCTTTGCGATGAGGAACTGCGTTTGGTTCAACGTTGGACTGGTTCTCATGTTGCCGAATTAATGAGTTGTTCACTAGAAACTGGTGGTGGTCTTCTTGTCACCGATATGAGAAGAAATTTAAATATTTTTGAAATGCAACCAAATTTAGTGGATTATATCAATGATAAATTAAAACGTGAAGGTTCGAATTTATCTGGTGTCACAATATCCTATTTTGCTTGGGCACCTATAACTATGGTCACTTTAGGTGAGCTACTACCAGGTGAAGTAGAATCTCGTCGATTACGTCGTCAAACACAGAAACGTGATTCATCTTCAACTAGTTGTCTGTATTCTAAATCAGAAGTTCAGTCAGGATCCAAGGCTGTATTGTTTCATAACCCTTCAACTGATTATAATACCCACAAATCAGATACTGATATTGGATCTAAAACTGTGGCCATGGACACAGATGATACATTGGTGTCGTTTGCAGTAAAAAAACGAATTGAAGATGATGAATTTATAGATGTTGTTGGCGGTGGTGGTAACGGGGGTGGCGACGAGACATTGCAGAAGTTGACAGCAGAAAGTTACATCAATTCATCTACTAGTGCTTTAGCTTCAGTGTCTACTGAACCTAATTCACTAAAAATTTCTCGTTTTGAACCAAAATCTCGTGTTTCGTTAAGCAATAGATTGAGCTCCGGACATTTAACTTCAGATTGTTTTCCGCATTCATTAGGAAATCGAAATGTAATCGATGGACAAACTATCAGTGCACCTGGTGGTTTTTCTCCCTGGTGTAACCGGGTAGGACCTATCAATCAGTTTAACCAATCACCTATGAGTAAGTTTAACTTACTTTGAGTATTATTGTATGTTAATCCACTCAATTCCATTTTGTCTTTCGTTTAGAAAGCCTTTCTGATAAGTTATTATGAATTTATTATTATTATTAATGGCTTTATTCAATATTATATTTTGGTACAATATAGAATTCTCAGCACAGGATATTTCAACAAGTTACTTACACAGCAACAAAAAACAGTAACAAATACAAAAAAATAAAATAAAAGAAGTTTTTTTTTAAAAAAGAAACCGAAAAACTGTACAACTTTTAAAAGTAAAGACATGTTAAGAATGCAGGTTATTGACTAGGTTAACTCTAACAACCTGTTCGTCACAGAGTATATTTGCTAGGTAAGGTATTATAGAACTTTTATACTTTTGCTTGCGTGCATGGATTTTAATGTAATTACGTCTCGTTCTACCAGAAGATATACAAGGAGGAAGATAAGAGTGAAGGGGATGGTTAGTATCTGATTAAATAACACCTGCCAGGAGTTTGCATGACTTTAGATGTCTATCTACAACCATATTAATTATGACCTCGAAAGATTCACCACACATCTTGCTAACTACCTTCAGCACTCCGCAATACAGCAAAGTCTTTTCTCAAAAGCCCGGGAAAGAATAATGGAGAACAGTAAAGCATAATAATAGGTAATATGCAAGAATTGACAAATTGTAAGAGTGAATGACGAGTAATCCCAAGAGCATGCAATCTCTTTATGTAGTGAGTCAGACGGAAAACCTTCTTCGATAACAATAAAACGTGAGAAGACCAAGAGAGATCAGAGGGAAAGGTAACACCAAGATAATTGGCCTTCGACATTGTGTCTGTCAAAGAGTCTCCGATGGCACAAGCATTATGGGATCTCAAAATGGTGTTTAGATTCCGTTCATGTCTCATACTAGAGTTAACAGCTTGACATTTAGGCGGATTAAGTATGAGACCATTACCAACAGACCAACAATCATTACGAGACAAAAACTCCTTCATTTCTATGGGATGTAAAGAGGAAGAGATAGGTATACATACAGTAAGATCATCCGCATATTCCAAAAAATTGTTTTCTGTGGAAGATGACAGATCATGCAGAAAAAAAGAGAAAAGAAGAGGTGAAAGAACAGCTCCTTGTGGTACACCTTCATGAGACAGTAGAGACTCTGAACACTTTCCTCCAAACACAGTGTACTGTTCCCTTCCAGAGAGGTTGGAACATAGCCAGTTCCATTCAGTTGATTGTTCAACAATCATCCTCATTATCGTATTTTGGTCGGTGTACGATCAGTCGTTATGAAGTCTAGCTTGTTAATATCGAAGTTGAACGTCTACTGAATTTTTCGTTTGGTTGATTAACACTGTTGAAAGCTTCGCATAGTACCAATAGCAACGTAATGCCTTTGTATTCCTCACATTTAATAAGATTTTTTTTGATATCTTGGTGAAGTATCTCATTCCATTCTCTTTTGTCTTTTCGTCCCAAACCTTTTCAAATAGAAAGAGTCATTTTTACAGTTACCTCCATATATTACTTCGGTGGTTCAGCTAGTGTTCTATCTTGTCCTGCTTCTTTGCCATTCTTGATTTGTCTGATAATCGTATTAATTTCTATTGATGATGGAGTATCATCCATAGGGGTTTTGCTCTGAAACGGCAGTAATCCTAACGGGTTCCAGATGGCGTTAAGATGAATTCTATAATGGTTGGAATGATATCGGTTTCAGTTGTTGTTGTTGAAAGCTTTGTTATTAGGCAATGTAATTTGACAAGAAAAAAAATTTGCGGAGCAAAAATGTATAAGATTATTTCAAAATTGGAACTCTAACGGGAACAATGTAAATGCACCTGAACCTTTGCGTTTAGTTCTTAACCATTCCTATAAGAAAAAGAGAATTCCACGAAGACAATTTTCTTTTCGACGAAACCATTTACTTAAGCTGTACTTCTGTATAACCATTACGATAATCGCGCGGACCGTAATCCATTGCGTTATACCCATCAACACGGCTTAGTTTAACAGTCAATTAGGGTTCATTACTTGATTACAGTCTCAAACCTCACTCCATCTTTTTCGATTTAGTTTACTTAACAGTATCGCTATTTCTTAGACAAAAGTTTGGCTTAAGACCATATGCATAAATGAATTAATGGTTGGTAAATAAATTTCATTGATTTATTCTCATTGAATAATAAATAAATAAATCATTAGGTATCAGCCGGAAACAGGACCTTCTGTCTCTCACGAACGCTTAACTTCTATACCACAGTCGAAATCCAACGGTTTTAATGTCTAACATCAACCAACACCGCTGGATGCCGGCTCGGTTGTCTAAAGGCTTGGCGTTCCTGTGAGACCGAAGATTATGGGTTCAAGGCTTGCGTGCGGGATTGTCGGTGCGCATTGTTAAGGAGTCTCATACTTGGATGAAACGGGCGTTCAATGTTTTTAGATTTTCAGTAGTGGTCTGACATTGATCCGTTCATGATTTCAATTAAAATCATTAGGTGTTACATGTAATTAGTCGACAATATCCAGAATCAGTTATTTGTACACTGTTCATTGTAGACATGTTTTACATATTCACGTTTCAAAGAGTTGTTCACATTTGTGTACTTTATATGAACTTTTTGTTTTTAGTTAGATGCGTAACCTGGATATTTTTAATATTATCTACCTAGGTATATTATCATAGCTATATATATAGCCGAAAAGTAATTCATAGTTGTCTTCTTTGATTATGTACCAGCAGATATCAACTACCTGCGTCCGTATAAGGACTTGCTTAAACATTTTCCATAATCACATATTATTTAATTAAGTTTTCTATAGAAAATTGTGAAGTGCAGAAATACAAACAGGAAACTCAAGATTTATGCAGAGATTTTGTCTTATTTATTCACTCTTATTTTTAATTCATTCATTTTTTCAACTTTACGTAGGTCGTCAAAGCATAAACAAAGTCGGCGCTAATACTTCATCTACAGGTGGTGGAATATTCAGAAGTACTTTGGTCAATTCACCTACAGAACTGACTAATGTAGTTGGCGGCGCGCTTGGTTTTCGAACATTCAACTCAGAACTACCAATATCCAATATGATTACAGATAAATTTATAGATACCAGTATTGAGCCTAAAGGTGGGAATCTTACACCTGGTGGTGGTGGTAGTAGTAGTACTACTGGTGATGGTTCTGCACCATGTACACCTTTAGCACATTTATCACTTTCTCCGGCAAGTTTGGATATGATGCCAACACGGATTATCGATTATTTAGATGTGCATTTATGTCGTGAAGCTGGTGAAATGCTTCCTTTAGCAGTGAATGATCGACTACGTCATGGAAGACATTTTACATTTTTAAATGCAAATTATCCAGATAATGCTATTACGTTAGTGCCATCTGGTGTTTCTGGAGCTTTTGTTACAGAAGAAACACCCTATGTTGCCCGTGGACCATGGTTACAAGTAAGAGAAAATTTAAATGAATTGTTTTTAAAATAAGTAGTTATTCTTAAGAATTAATGCAATAAGTGGAGTGTATTAACTTACAAGAAGTTATAATCCCGTAGTTGGTTATAACTTACTGATCTGTAATCATTTCTTCAAATCCCCCTCTTTTACTGGAGTTGCCACTTTTTAAGTGTTGGGTAGTCTAGTCATCTTCCCTTTCATGTAATTCGTTGAGAACCAGGCATTCATGAATTCTATATTTTGTTCTGGTGTAAGAAGTTCTCAGCAAAAGATATCCTGTATCATTATACGTAGTAATCAGCTTCAAACAATCGTTGAATGATAACTAGATTTTACAAGACAATTAACTTCCAATTATCAAGTTATACATATTCGACTTGTGTTCTATCAGTTTTAATAATTTATTAAACAGACGAGTTATTTTAATCCATAAACAAACTGCATTTATTTGATCTGGAAAATAACTGGGTTTTTTGCTTCTGAGAAACTTTATACTGGGATATGACGAGCTGCCTTGATCACTCTTATTTTCTTTTTAATTTCTTCTTTTATCAGTGTTATGTTATTTTGGTTTTTAATAATACTGATATCAAATTGTATTTTTATTCTTTATTTGTTATTTTTTTTGTTGAAATTTATCTAGATCTTATTGACAGACGATTTTCTGGAACAGTTGGAATTTCAATTTTCATGTTTATTATATCCTAATGAATTGCATTTGCCGTTAGTTTTTCGTTGGCCAGAAAGACATTTACGTATATGCTTGGTTGATGTCAGTTCATCATCATCATTGTCATCATCACCACCACCATCATCAAACGGAGGCTTACCATCAATACCTCTCCCGCATTCACAGACAGCATCTGTAACAAACCCGGTGTCTTTAATAAACGATACTAATAACAATATTGGCAATAATAGTGTCGACAATAGCAACACTTCAGATACATCGAATATTTCAAAACTTATGGGTACTCCTACTACTACTAGCATTCATTGTAATTGGAATACATCAATGGTAGATAATAGATTGATATCTGGTAATAACAGTGGTAGTGTTGGGAGTACTCTACAGTCCTCAGTCATTCCGAGTGCATTTGCTAAATCTGATTTACTTCCTTCATTCTTATCATTATTCCCACCGGGATGTATACCACCGCCGAATGTTTTATCATCGTTGTTCAGTGCCATGGCTACAAATAATTCTAGTAGCACTAGTGACAATATTAATACTACCAATAATGATCAATCTCAAACAGAATTATTCAGAAAATCATTTCTCCCAATAAATCAGACTGTTACACCAGTGCCTATATTTCAAACATCGTCGTCATCACCTACATCATTAATCCAACCATCCGCATCAACGTTGCCGAATTCATCTCATATACACCACCATCAAATCACTCAGCAACAACAAGTACGGCAAGAACATCAACCAAGTACAACATCTCTTCCTACTGAATTAAAAGTTGATAGCTTAATTGATCCTAATGTATTTGCTAATAACTGGTCAATGTTTTTGCAAACATTAATGCGTAACAGTAACATTAATACTAATAATACGGATTCATTAAGACAAATAATATCTGGTAGTCAGAATAACAACGTTGCTACTACTAATATCAGTAGTACTAATCCAACCGCTTATTTCATGGAGTTTTTGCAAAATTTTCCTTTCAATAATAGTAATAATAATTGTATGAATATGTTGTCTGCTTTAACTTCGTCAACAGCACCGACAGCATCAGTATCATCGTCATCATCATCAATGAAGCATTTTTAAATTTTGTTTTCTCATGTTTTTAAAGCGTACTGAGCTATTGATACTCTTATGAAGTATACATTAAAATAGCATATGTGTATTCTTTCATTAAAAATTTATTCTAAGGTTATATTTTTTTCTGCTTATTTCCTACATTTCCTTATTTTCCTTCTTTCTTTCTTTTTCAAACATCAATTTCTTCCTATTCCATCATTAATATGTTTACATGCAGTGTTCTCTCGTAAAACAATCAACAACAAATGCCGTATTCTAGTTAGAATGCAAAGAAATAAAACCATGTTTTATCTTTCGTTCGCTCAGTTTTTGGCGCCAAGTAATCGTATCATTGTGTGTGTGTGTGTGTACTTTCAACATTCAAATCAATGATAATAATATTATTTTCACATGACCACTTACTTGTTCTCATGCAATTCATTAACATAATGTGTATATTAACGAGTAGTAAATAATTCCTTCAACAATTTTTTTGAATGTTTCAATTGAATTATTTCATGTTTTTTTTTATTATTTCATTTAAAAGGAAAGCGCCAAATAATCAACTTTTATGAAGCACACAACCTACTAATGATTTATTTGGACAAGAACCTTTTTTTTCCTTCTTTTTAATATCTCAAATATACATTTATCTGTTATGGTAGGTTAAAGAAGCGCCATCTATTTATTTAGGGTTATTTCTCCCCCCTTTTTGTTTTTACTTCATTTTACCCGGTCACTTATATAGGAGATAGTATGAAAGTGTTTTCATTGGAACCTTCTCAATATAGTACATTGATTTGACTCATTCTAACTTTTTTGCATTTGTTCTTTTTCATTCACTATCGACATTGTTCACTTTCGGATTTATTCTCCAGTAGAAACTTGTTAGATTTAATTGATTTTAGGGGTTAACATACATTGATTTGTGTACCCGTCTGTTATTACCGATGATTGACATTCATTGTACTGTTATAGTTTGAAAAAATAATTCACTTTCTTAAAATTATAAAATGTATGTATGTTTTGGTTTGATACGCATTTTTCTTCGATAATACTTTCGTTGTGGACGGAATTAATTTTCATCACTTTTTGTTTTTATTATTTACACTTACTGAGATGAGATAGTCATAATGATGAGGTTTAGAATTGAAAGGAGATAAAAGAATGAAGTTTGATTTTTGTTTTTCTACATCATATTTTTTATCAGACTATTGAAAATATATAAGTATTATATGTAACCTTTTCATCATTAGTATTTTTTTTTTAAAAAATTTTCATCTTTACCATGCTGCTTAATTTGTGTTGAATTGCGTCTTTTTTTACCCTCCAGTTTAATTAAAGGCATGAAATCTATGAATATTTCCAAAGAAGAAAAGTATTCTGTGAATATTGAAAAGTATACTAGTTTTAAATGTTTATTGGTTTTTAAGTTCATTACACGAAAAATCGATGTCAGACGAAGGCATCCAAGAATATGACTATTCATAAGCTTGTCAATTGATGTGTTACAATCGACGTATAGAATGTAAATAGTTTTAAAATCCCTTAACTCATCATATGCGAATGGTGACAATCAATCTTTGTTCTGTTGAAGGAGACGGTTTTTCTATTCATATATACAAACATAACTTACTATAACTTGGTGCACTTATCGTACGTATAATTACAGTACTTCCTTTCATTAGCGAACCAGGAAGCATTGAACTATTGTTTCGTCCTAGATTGGATATCTTAAGCAATGCGCACCTACTAATTCATACGACATCCATTAACGAAATCATCTGGTTCTCGCGGTAAGCTCATCGAGATTAAATCAATGAGTTTACCCGCATTTATGCGTAATTTAAACATCGGTCAGTTTGTGATATTGAACTGCTAATTCTGCTTTACCATTAAGCCACTGTCTCACTTTTAACACTGTCGACTTCACATGTTATGAATTCACTCTTTCTGATGATATTCTTGTTGATGTTGTAAACACTAAGTGAATCATCACAAACCCCATAAATATATTAAGAAAATTGCAAATAAATACATCTGTTCATATGAAAATATGACTAAATATTCGCTTATTCCTACACTGACTATACTAATCATTGAGTAATTTAATCCTGAAAGTTGATTGCAGTGAAACAGTCGAGTAATATTCTTCCCGTTTTAAGGAAGCTGTGATTATAACGTTTTAGTTCTGTCAAAGGCTCAATCTATAGCGATTTTCTATGGCGATTTTCTGCGCATTAAATGAGTTGTTTGTTCTACTTAAACTGGAAGGAGGTAATCGTTCACACTTTTGCATATGCTGTTCCTGACTACCTTCTAACTGGATATATTGTTAAGCAAACGTCTTGTGGTTTTTCTCCACCAATTAAATAGTTCAAATATCTAAAATAATAGGATCTTGAAGGAATTCCGTGTTTATATAACTTTATACATGAGCCTTGTGAAGATTGTTTACTTTTGTAGTTTACATCTCACACTAATAAACATTGTAAAAAATGGAACATGTACTTCATCCTTACGGTACTTTTCACAATTCAACAGTAATATTTGTAATAGTTTTCCTGAAAAATGAGTTTAATAATAAAATTCAGAGGACTTTTCCCGGAAAGACCATTTAATCCGTAAAATAATATAAATCTCATTGGAACTCAATTTATCTACCAACTATATTTTTGTAAGAGTGATGATTCTTTTCATTATTAATACTGAATTAAATGGAGTTTTGAACGGAAAAGTTAATGCCGTTCGTTGTAAAGTGACTATTTAAACGGTTTAGTTACTGTTGTAATCATTCAATATAACGTAACTTGTGTTTCATTAAACATGAATGGTAATGTATTATATTGGGATTGATATGTTTTTTTCTACGATACTATTTGCTTGCCCAAACCTTAATAAACAGAATATAATGAACATATGTAATCTCTTGATTAGAAATTAAGTTTTTGAACAAGTCTTCATTTTATATGAATGGTACGAAACTATATCACTAATTAAACAAGCTGGTTCCAGTTAACTGGTGCGAAATACACTAATATCGTTTCAGGCTTGACATTCATTATTAACTCCAGTTATACACGTTCAGAATAATTTTGATCGGAGTGTTATTCAGACATAATTAACGTAGAATCTGTCACAACTATGAGTAAGCTCAAGTTTTCAGATCAAATCTTCACGACTAGATAAAATGAACAAGATAAATAACACAGGAGTCGAAATAGTGATTGTATCAGTAATAGTCAGGATAAGTTCGTGTTGAGGAAGTGGAATGTGGCTAGCAGTAGAATCATCATATAGAACGAAACTCGTCCTGGTTTCTACTACTAGCCACATTCCATCGATTCTATAGTAACATGTGTCATTATTGTCTTTATCGAAATAACCTATATATGATGCATATATGCAAACTGAGACTGTTTGAAATTCAGCCAAAATATCAACAGCGAGATAATTCAATCCATTTGAAATAAATAAGATGGTTTTAAGGGTTATGTATAAAAGAATATCACTACTCAAGATTTAGCGGAAGATCAAAATGAATACACAGCGTCATTCTTAATCTGTTTTCAGCACTGTCACTTAAAGTTATCAACCATTAGTCACAGTAATAGCACATTGCCCCAATTAGATAGTTTGCACTTACATATTCGCTCAAACCAATGATTATTTACTCTATAAAGTGTTGCTATGATGTTCAGTTTATGTTACAGTATCAGTCTTTTCAATATTGAAAACATGTGTTTTCAAATAGGTACCGGTGAAATTAAAACGGCGGTTATATACAAATTTCTATTAATCTATTTCACTTATCTGATATTAAGACAATTGAGAAAATTGTATATTTATAGATAATAGATATTTTTGTGAACAAATCAAATTGACAAGAGAGATAGACACAATAGTATGGTATATTTTCAGATTTTCCAAGTCATTCATTTCATTTAATCATATTAATGAAATTAAGATGGATTTCCTTTGTAATTCTTATGTCTACATCACTTTTGTACAATGAATCGTTCAAGTTAACTTTCAAATACTGAATGACGGTTATAATTGTTACCTTTTTCTTTAATTAATCTGTCGGTAAAATTTATCTTTCTTATTGTTTTAGAAGTTTGAATTAATCTTAAAATTTCTAACTGAACCCCCCATGCTCAGTATCCAATGAATCGTATTTAATCGATAGTATATACCGCCTGTTGATCTTTTTCTACTCATTTTATTGTTAACTATATCCGTTTGTGTACTTAGTACTAAAGTGATATTTTTATTTAGAATATGTCAGGTGGTTGGAAATAGTTAGCAATGAGGTATGGAATTCAGCTTCATGTTAGTTGACACTCATTAGTTGTATTAAGGTAACTGATACCTTCACTGAGGTTCGAACTTATTTCACATCCAAAGGTCTTATCAATCACTTGTAATTAGCTTGCTGTTGAACCGAAATATTTACACAAATTGATCGCTGAGCATTAATTAATGTCGTGCTTTCTAATCCAATTGTTATGAATAATGACATCAATCGATATCAAGTGCCACACTCACTAACCAGAATCCCGATTATAATTTTTTCTATCCTACGTGTACTACTCTGTCTATAGTTAAGAGTCTTAGACTTGACCAGTTATACGTTCTAATCTGTATAGATAATCTTGAGCCAACGCAAGCTATGCTCTTACTGATCTGCTATCCTCAGGCTTTTCTCTATCCCATGCCTTGAGTTCAAAGAGAAGTCGGCAGCCATTAAGGATAGTAGAATGTCTAACGACAGTTATTAGATCTACTGTAAGCTTACAATAAGGAGAATATAGATATATATGAAAATATAGTTGCCTATTAATTATGCAGTAAAAATATAATAATAATCAAGAAAACATTTACGAAAGCTTCAAATTTCCAGGACGTGTCTCATTATAACACAAATTTACCAAGAAAGTCATAATGTAACTTATAGAGTTTGTATTCAACGGATTACACTTTTTATTCAGTTTCTTATAATCTTCAATTGTGTCCAAGATATTGTT